GGAAGGCGATTGTAAGCCGTTTTGAGACTCCTTAAGGCGGGGTAGAAAAACCTACTCTTCTTCTTCAATGCATGGAGGCGGGGGGGGGGGCTGCAACATACCCACCGAATCCATCCCCAAACTTCACAAAGTAATCAGAAGGTGTGCACAGATGTTCATGTGAGCACAAACCCAAATGCACATACACTGAATGTAGCTATTGGTATCCCACAAACATGTATATATTCATAGCCAACACACTGCAGAGACCCCCTGCTTGTCTGGGATGGGGCCAGAAGACCAGATTCCTCGTACCTTCCCTATATATTTCTTGCTACCTCTTCGAACATCTGCACAGGATACCTGTAACTTTTGGCTCAGGAATAATCTTTGGCCGTCTAGCAGTGTTCAGCAAATTGAGAGCTCAAATTGTGGATCAGCCTCCTTCCTGCCCCTGATGATGCTGTGAATCGAGCCGGATCTTATCTCTACTGTTTCTTGTTTCAAATAGAGCAACGCAGAATGTGGTGTCGGAAAGCGCCTTCAAGTCACAGCCCGCTTACGGCAACTCTATAGGATTTTCAAGGCAAGAGACGTTCAGAGGTGGTCTGCCATTGCCCACCTCTGCATCACAACCCTGGTATTCCGAGGTGACCATCCCATCCAAATACCAGCCAGGGCTCACCCTGCTTAGCTTCTGAGATCTGACAAGATCTTTTTAGCCTGGGCTGACCCTGGATAGGCCAACACAGAGTGTGGGGGATAATGTTGTTTACACCAGTTTGGTGTAGTGGTTAAGTGCGCAGGCTCTAATCTGGGAGAACTGGGTTTGATTCCCCACTCCTGCACTTACAGCTGCTAGATGACCTTGGGCAAGCCATAGTTCTGTCAGAGCTGTCCTTGAAAGCGCAGTCCTCGAAAGAGCTCTCTCAGGCCCACCTACCTCACAGGATATCTGTTGTGGGGAGGGGAAGGGAAAGGAGTCTGTAAGCTTCTCTGAGACTCGGAGTGAAGGGTGGGGTATAAATCCAATTTCATCTTCTACTCTCCTTTATTTCCTTTATGATATGAACATTACTTGGCTGCTTCCAGATGGTGAAGATGTTCCATGTTGCCTTTCTGGAGAATGCAGGGGCACCCACACTGACAACAGAACTTCCACATCACAGGAATGTTCTGCTCACTTTCCTCTAGTCAACCCCTCCCGGCCTCCATTTTCCCAGCGTTTTATCCCCACCGTACACCAGAGTCTGAATGCTTAAGGAAAAAAAGATCAGTAATTACTGTAGTCTAACAGCAATTATTACTTTTTTTGAAAAGACCCCCATGGCAACAAGCCACCGATGGCTACAAGTCAGTGGCATGGGAGATGGATGGCAGGAAAATATCACCCACACAGACAGTTCAGGACCAGAAAACGTGCACTTTTCTGTCCAGATGGCATGATAATGTGCTCTTTCCAAAAAAGACCAAAGCACAGCAGGTTTGGGAAAGAACATCCTGAGGACGGAGAAAGGACGATGTAAGCAAAACCCTGCCTGGATGCCAAAAAAAGAAAGAAAATGCTCCAGATTGGAAGCCAAGGTGGAGGAGAAAAATCTCCATGCAGAAGCAATCTCTTCACACATTACAAAGCACACAGGCTGAGTCCAGAGTCCCCAACCCATGTCTTGTGTAAAAGTCACACATTACTTGCAGGTTCACCTCAAGAGCCAGTTTGGTGTAGTGGTTAAGTGCATGGGCTCTAATCTGGGAGATGCAGCTGCTGGATGACCTCGGGCAAGCCATAGTTCTGTCAGAGCTGACCTTGAAAGAGCAGTTCTCTCAGAGCTCCCTCAGCCCCACCTACCTCACAGGGTGTCTGCTGTGGGGAGGGGAAGGGAAAGGAGTTTGTAAGCTGCTCTGAGACTCCAAGTGAAGGGCGGTGTATAAATCCAATCTCTTCTTCTTCTTCCCCTGCAAGTAGTGCCCAATTCAGATTGTGACTGTGGCACATGTGAAGAAGGAGTTTCGGCCTTCCTTGTTGCACTCTTTCCAAACTTACAGTGGTCTCAGGATTGGGTTATCTGGCCCTTTGAGGAAAGTCACACATACATTCATAAATTTTCCCAACAAACCAATTAGTGCCCCCCAAGGGGGGGGGGAGGAAGAAGAAGAGACTGGATTTATACCCTACCCTTCACTACCCAAAGGAGACTCAGAGCGGCTTACAATCTCTTTTCCCTTCCCCTCCCCGCAACAGACACCCTGTGAGGTAGGTGGGGCTGAGAGAGCTCTCTCGAGAACTGCCCTTGGGAGAACAGCTCCGAGAGAACTTGTGACTTACCCCAGGTCACACCAGCAGCTGCATGTGGAGAAGTAGGGAATCAAACCCAGTTCTCCCAGATTAGAGTCCGCACTCCTAACCACTACACCAAACTGGCTCTCTCACCAAACTTGCAATGAAGACCATGCCACAGTTGTGATCTAAATCGGGCACCGTACACACAGGAACTGAAGAGAACACACAAATGACATCACGCAGGCCATAGGGTGGGGACGCTGGACTCAAGCTATGTATTCCATAATGTGTGTCACACCCTTTTTGAAACCAGCCGCTTAAGCATCCGCAACCCCTCTGGAAGCCACGGGATGGGCCTCCGCACTCCCCTTCTCCAAAGGAGCTCATAGCCCCTAAAACGGGAGTCCTCCCACGGAGACTACCCAGCCCTATACTTAGCTTTAGACAGGGAACCACATCAGGTACTTTCAGACCGTTCCTTGGGCTGTTGCCTACAAAGCTTCCTACCACAGTCAGCCAGCTGGCCTGGACAACGCGACAACAGCCACTGCAGGCAACTCTTCCAAAAGAAAAAGGGGGAAAGGAATAAGACAATGTTACAACTTTTTTCCTTGCAAAAAGACCAAACCACAAGGAAGACGAGTCGGATGGCAGAGGGCAGGGCAGGTCTCGTTTAGAGTCAGGAGGTCCCAAAAGCATCCCACACGGCTTTGGTTAGAGAACGGAGAAGTGGAGTTGGCACCTTTGCAAGCCAAAGTCAGTGCCAAAGACCCTGGCTTCCCTTCCTCCCCAAAGCTATTCCTGGCTCATTTCCTCCATGTATATTTTTAAATGTTGTTGTAAATGGTACCCAGAAGTCTTAAGAGTCTCCCGAGGCAAAGCCAGAACAAAAGGAAAATGTGTAATTTTGGCCCAGAAAGCTTGATGTGCAGCTGAACACAAGAAATGCCCTGCAGGATCAGACCTGTGATCCATCTAGCTCAGCATCCTGTTCCAGACAGCAGATCAGCAGTTGCCCTGGAGGGCCAATAAACAGGGCACAGAGGCGAAGGCCTTCCATTGGTGTTGCCTCCTAGCACGGGTACTTAGAGGCTTCCTCCCTCCAGATGTGGAGGTTCCCTTTAGTCTCACCATGCCTAGCAGCCACTGATGGATCAATTCTCCATGAATCTGTCTAACCTCTTTTTACAGCCATCACTACATCCGCTGGCACTGCATTCCACCATTTAATTATGCATTGCATGAAGAAGCATTTCCTTTCATCCACCTGGAATCTACTGCCAACCTACTGGAAGCCTTACAGGAAAAGGGAGAAAAAAGTTTACTCATACGAAGAATGCAAAACTCTGTTTAAGGTAAGCTTGTGGGACTGGCCAGACTTCTAGCAAATGCGCTCAAGGTGTCAAACAAAAAAACAAAACAAAACACTGGGGCAGCCACTGTCAAATCTCAGTTAATGTACTAACACTCTCTTCCCTGTGCTTGAAAACAATTCCTCTCTCCCACAGTGAGGCCCCAAAGTGCCACTTTCTAATTGGGCAGATGTCAGTCTTAAGCCTAACGCTGACCTGGATGGCCCAGGCTAGCCCGATCTCATCAGATCTTGGAAATGAAGCAGGGTCTCGGCCCTGGTCAGTAACGCTAGACCACCAAGGAAATCCACGGTCGCTATGCAGAGGCAGGCCATGACAAATCACCTCTCAACCTCTCTTGCACTGAAAACCCTAAAGGGGCCGAAATAAGTCGGCTGTCACTTGACGGCCCTTTCCGCCACCCCCATTCTCCACCCTAGCCGCTTAGCCCGTGGATCCTATCTGCCCCACCGGGCATGCCAGGACAAAACACAAGACAAGATTCAGACCCCTGTTTCCCAATAGCAGCCCGACCCCAAGTCATGTGTTGTAGAGAATCACCTGGGGAAAGCATGATCCTCACTGTGCCAGGACCACAACCTCCCTGCTGGAGCCGCACAGAAGATAAGCTGCCAGGGAGAATTTGTCCCCGGAAAGTGGGGCCCGGAATCCAATCAAACACCCTTCTTATGGAATCTGCATCCTGGTTAGGGTCGCCAGGTTCTCCTTGGCCACCAGTGAGGGGCGGGGGAGTTAGGGTCACCAGCTTCCGATTGGGAAACTCCTGGAGATTCAGGGGCAACGCTGGGGAGGACAGGGACCTCAGTGGGGCACAATACTATAGCGTCCAAAGCATCCATTTCTCCAATGATCTTTGTAGTCTGGGGATGAGCTGTAATTCCGGGGGATCCCCAGGTCCCACCTGGAGTCTGGCATCCCACGACCGACTAGTCTGGTGCCTCTAGCCAAGTTCTCTCTCTCTCTCTCTGGGCCTCAGTTTTCCAATCTGTAAAACAGGAGCAACAGACAGACAGCAGAGTCTGCCAAAAGGAGTAAAAGCAATTTCCCCTGAAAGCCTTAAGGGGGGGAAAGAGCCATAAACCTGATTTAAGGGAAACGATCCAAAGGACTCAAGCGAACACCCAGAGAGAGGCGGGGTGGGGCCAGACCCAGGGTGGCTTCTCTGGATCTTCGGCTGGGCCAGCGACCCCTCTGGGCCGGGGCTCCCCCTCCCTTCCCAGCAGCGCCCTTCCTGCCTCCCAGCCCCACCCCGCCCTGCTCCACGGGCTCGTCCCCCTGCCGGCTCTCCCGCCCCGTGCCCAGGCCTACCGCCGCCAGCCTAAGGGAGGGGAGGCTTCCCGGCCACCGCCCCGGCGCGGGAGACTCACGCGTTGCCCACGTGGATGCGGGGCGCCACCTCGTTGCTGTGCGCGCTGGGGAGGCTGTAGCAGCCGCTGCCGTTGGCCAGCAGGTCGTTGAGCTCCTCCACGGAAATCTGGAACTCGGACATGGCTCGCTCGCCACCCCCGCCGATCTGGGCAGGGCTGCCTCCCCGCTCCTTTCCCCGGGCCCTGCCTGATAGGAGGGGCTGCGATCAGCTGGTGCGCGGCCGGCAACTCACAGCCAGGCCGGGAGGAAAGCGAGCAGTTGGTGCGCCATGGGCGCGCCGCCAGGGGAGACCGGGAGAGCCCCGACACACACACACACACACCCCGCGGCCGCCTTTGAGTCACGTTACGTTTCTCCCCCCGCGCCCGGGCTTTCACGTGTCACGGGCTGATCGGGAGGGGCGTCGCACCCATTTGGGAGGATTAGATTCCGCCGCCCCGCCCGCCCGCCAGCCAGCCAGCCAGCCAGCCAGCCACACATAGCTAGGCTGTTTAGTACGGGTTCGGAGACACCGTCTTGTGTGCGTCTGGCTGAAGCTACAGGTGCTGCCACTTGGAAGGCCTCTCCAACGCTAGGAGCGCGCGAGGGGCCTCCGTGCATCTGGTGCGGGAGAAAGGGCACTCTGCACATGCTCAGAAGCAAAGAGGTGACTCAGACGGAGAATTTAGAAGTGACCCCTTTCCCTGTGCCCGAATTCACAGATGTGTAGCGCGTCCCTAACAGAGTTCTAACCTGCTAAATCCATTAACGTCAGTGGCTTTCGTTTCAGGGTTGCATTGTTTCGCGCGTTTGAATTCTTTCCCCCCCCCAAAAAAAACACAACTGTCAACGGTTTTCACAAGCCTTTTTTAAGCTTCTTTGTCTCTCCGGCATGTAGAAATGTATTAATGCAAGACATAAGTTGGAAGCCTTCTCAGGGTTTAAACGCTGCAAAGGAGGCAAAAAATGTTTCCTCAGAGAAGCCAACGTGAGTTGCTTCCTTAATAATGTTTTTATTAATTATATTTTTAGCCATCTTTCCGAAAAACACAGAATGGTGCCTATAGGAGTCTGGACAGTCACAACAACCCTGTGAGGTAGCTTGGATAAGGGACTGGCGATTTGTGTACTGACTGCCCCCACACACACACATTCCTTGTCCAACACTGTATCCGCTACACCACACTATCTCTTCTAAAATGTATTCACCTGAAGACAGGGTTGCCAACTCCAGACTGGGAAGTTCTTAGAGATGTGGGGATAGAGCCTGGGGAGGGTGGGGTTTTGGGAGGGGAGGGACTTCCGTGGGTGTGATGTCATACAGTCCACCCTCCAAAGCAGCCATTTTCTCCAGGGAACTGATCTCTGCAGTCTGGAGATCAGTGGTAATTCTGGGAGGTCTCCAGGCCTTGCCTGGAGGTTGGCAACCCTACCTGGACGCAGTCCTATGTGCTCTTACTTGCAAGTAAACCACAGTTGTAAGTAAATATACATATGGTTGCATTGCATGCATCATTATTCTCTAGAACTCTTGCATTCCAGAAATAAGCCAGAATCTAATGATGGGGTCTCCCACCGGCAACTCTAAACCTAAATGCAGCTCAGTCAGACCAGTGGTCCATCTAGTCTGAGAGGAAAAGAAAATCCTTAAGGTATATCACAGCAGTAGGTGGAATGCTAGAATAACCAGTCCAGGAAGGGAGCGGCAGGCAAAGGTTCTTACGGGACTAAAGGGCTTCTTAGAGATACTTTGAAGAAAAGGAAAGAGTAAGCAGGCGAAAAGCTGCCAGTAATCCATGTGTGAGCCACGCACAGATTTATACCAGTGTGCTATCATAACTGCGCAGTGTACTCCTGTGTATATATATTTGTATTTTTGTGTGTGTGCGTGTGTGTGTGTGCCCCTGTGCCTGGAAGTCATGGCAACCTCTGGCAACTCCTACTGGGACACAGAGGATGTTCAGAGAAGCGGCTTGCCTTCCCCCCCCCCACCCCGGCCCTGGTATTCTCTGGAGGTCTCCCATCCAGCTACTTGCCAGGGTCGGCCCTTGCTTAGCTTCCGAGATCGGATGAGATCGGGCTTGCCTGGGCTATCCAGGTCAGGGCTCCTGTGTGTTTTTTTTACTTGTTGTGATACCTCATGTGTGCTGCTTTGTAATAAAGGATTCTGAGCAACCAGGATTTCGGCTGCAGATACGTTCTGGTTTAGTTATGCAATGATAAATTGTACATTTTTGGTTATGCAAAAGGACTTTTCTGTGCTGGCTTTTCGCTGATCTCTCACTGATCGTTTGGCTCTTTAGTTATGAATGCTCACTCACCCCCTGGTCTAGTGGCAGTTTAAAGATTAACATGTGTCAGTTTAAAGATAAACATGTTTTTGTTTGTGGTGTGTATGTGTGTGTGTGTGTGTGTGTGTGTGTGTGTGTGTGTGTGTGTGTGTGAATAAACATAAGAAGAGCCCTGCTGGATCAGACCAGTGGTCCATCTAGTCCAGCATCCTTTCTCACACAGTGGCCAACCAGTTCTTTTGAATGACCAGTGAGACCAAGGCCTTCCCCTGATGTTGCCTCCTAGCTCTGGGATTCAGAGGATTAGTGCCTCTGAATATGGAGGTTCCCCTCAGTCACCATGGCTAGTAGCCATTGATAGACATCCTCCATGAATCTATCTAATCCCCTTTTAAAGCTGTTTATTCCTGTGGCCATCACTACACACTCTGGCAGTGATTTCACATTTTAATCACTGTGTAAAGTAGTATTTCCTCTTGTCCATCCTGAACCTACTGCACATCAGTTTCATTGGATGCCCTCAAGTTCTAGTATTTTGGGAGAGGGAGAAAAGATTATCTTTGTCAACTCTCTCTACCCCATGCATAATGTTATGACACTCTGTCATGTTCCCCCTTAGTTGTCTCTTTTCTAAACTGAAAAGTCTAAGAAGAGAAGAGATTGGATTTATACCCCCGCCCTTCACTACCCAAGGGAATCTCAGAGCGGCTTACAAACTCCTTTCCCTTCCCCTCCCCACAACAGACACCCTGTGAGGTAGGTGGGGCTGAGAGAGCTCTTTCCAGAACTGTCCTTGAGAGAACAGCTCTGACAGAACTACGGCTTGCCCAAGGTCATCCAGCAGCTGCATGTGGAGGAGTGGGGAATCAAACCCGGTTCTCCCAGATTAGAGTCTGCTCACTTAACCACTACACCAAACTGGCTTTTCAACCTTTCCTGATAGGGAAGGGGCTCCGACTCCCTAATCATCTTGGTTGCTCTCCTCTGCACTTTTCCCAGCTCTGCAATATCTAGTAATGTAACTTGCAATAAATGCCTAATAAGGTTTTCTGATATCTCTCTCTCATATTTTAAACAGCGGGATCAAAGAGCTGTGAGCTTGTAACTGTGCAACACTCCCATGTAATAAAGCAAAGTGGAGAAAGCATTCCCGATAACAGTACTTGGCAGCGTCGCTGGTTTTCCTAAAGTGGTTTATTATTTATTACTAAGAAAATGTATACACAGCCTCTTCAAGAGACATGCTCAAGCCTGCTCACAAAGTAAAAACAATACAAGAAAATCATTAAAAACAACAGTACAAGAAACCATATAAACAAGCTGGGGCATAAAAACAACTCAAAATGACATTCGGCATCCTAAGCGGATGTCTACAAAATAGTCTTCAGACTGGAAGCAGATTGTTAAAATAACTAAAAAAAAAAAATGGAAACACCTCAGTTAAAAGCATGGACAGAAAGATATTTGCCCTGGTACCTAAAAATATTAAGGTAGGTGCCCAGAAAAGCCTCAAAGTGGGAGGGTATTCCAAAAACAAGGGTGCCGCCACTGAAAGAGCCTTGTTTCTGGTTACCACCTACTTCCCATCTGCATTTGGGGCACAAAGAGAACGGCTTGTGAAGAAGATGGTTGGAACCAGTGGACAGTATAGCTCACTGCTTCCTATGACTACAGACTATAAAGTTTTTGTTAAGTTCTTGGGAGATAGTAATAAACTTCTGGATGAATTCTAGTTCTGCAGTTTCTTGTTGGATTCTCCCTTGGAAGCTCTTTTGGTGGAGAAGGGTGGCTTTTAGTTTACAGAAACTGGGACTAGGGAGACCAAAATCTACTTCCACTGGGTTTCTAACAACATTTTAAATCTCAAATGTGTGCCCTTCAGCCATTTGCAAAGAGATCAACTGCTTCATGTTATAAAAAGAGGAGAAGAGCATTATTGACACCTGATGACGTATTTCACACTAGAGAATGAGCCAGGGGTGAAGCCCAAGATGGCAAGGCTGTTATTAGTAAGATCCCCTAATAATATTGCTGAAGGGGATACAGGGCCAGGATGTACCTGGATTTGATGCAAAGTCTGACTCATTGATCCATAATACTTATTGCCCAACTTCACTGGCTGCCAAGAGGCAAAACAGTTCTTGTCCACCAAAGGATATGAGGGCAATCAGCACACCAGTGGGGAAGGAAAATACTTGGATTCTCTATAATAATGAGATATCAACGTCACAAGAATAAACAGAAGACTAGAGTTTTCAATAAAACCCTTTTCCTTCACGGCCAATGTGCTTTACTGCCTTCAAATGCCTTGGTGGAAAAGAACCTTTTTTTTCTCTTGGCAATACACTTCTCTCCCATAATATTATTGACTTCACTGATATGTGCAAAGCTTAAATTTGGTAATGAAAATCAGTCTGGGGACCAAGTCATAAGCATAACCTTCTAATATCTATTTTCACTTGTGAGAATATGAAGATTCTGACCTGTGGATTGGTCCTCCTCTGCTTTAAGCAAGGTTTAAACTGAGCCAAGGTTCGGCTGTTTATTAGGACTCGGACATGCCTTTGAGCATGTGCAAAGTGTTTTTGGCTGATCGCTGATTAACCAGCACCCATGTTCCCATTAGGACAGCCACGTGATAGAGCACGAGACACCTCTTATGTTATAACAGAGGAAGTAGAATACCTTTCAAAAGGCTCGACCAAAAAATCACACTTTGCAGAGTTCTCTAGAACTCCCTGTCAGGTTGGTGGCTCAGTGCAAAGAACAAAAAAAAATGATTGGGAGGAGTTGTCTGAAGCATAGAGAAGTACCTGAGTTTGCCATCACTTTATCATTTCTTGTTCTGCCTGTTTTGTGAAAGTTTGTACGGAACACCCAGGCAGACGAAAGGTTTTAAAATCCTCCCTCAAAGTTTTGTGATATTTTGCTTGCTTTTTATTAAAGGTCTGACACAACTTTAAGAATTTGGATCCATTTTACTCCTGTTTATAGGAAAGAAGTCAAAGTGCGAAAGCGAAAGTTGGGGGAGCATATCGGCCCTCCCACAAATGGTTTTTCGTTCCCCACAAGGCCGCTCTGTGCCTCTCCACCTTGTCATTCGCTCTTTGCTGGTGGAGGAGGTGGTGAGAGTGACCTATATTCCAGTTCCTCCTCCCTGTGTTCTTGGCTGGGGTGTGGAGGGTGGAGCCCTTGCTTTCCCTCTGCCAGAGTCTGCGGTGCCGCTGTTGACAGGGTTCGCCATGGCACGAGAGAGCACCCTGTCACTGCCCACCCTGAAGCTGCTGTTGGTCGGAGACAGTGCGGTGGGGAAATCCAGGTGCATGCCAAGAGGGGGGAGTGTGCCACAGGGTGGGAAGAGGACCGAGGGTGTCGCTCCATGGAGAGCTGCTGTTCCCATACAGCTCACCTATGTCCTGTCTTGTCTCCTCCCACAGCCTCTTGCTGCGATTCACAGAAGACCAGTTTGAACCCTGCCTCGACCCAACCATTGGTGAGCATCGCTGGCTGCCGCTATCCTTTGTCACTTGTGAGAGTGCCAACCCCAGGGCTTAACCTGCACCAGGGACCATCTGTTTGGCACCAGGAGCTGTTTTCTTCTGCTTGGCAGATTGTGAAAGAAAGGGATTGCCTCTGAGCATGTGCAAAATGCCTTTCGGTGGACGTTGGTACAGCAGGGAACGGCTGCGTGGCTTTGTGGGAGGGTTGAGCTCCAGAGGTGCTCTGTTGTTCCAAAACCCTGATTTAGACACATTTTTAACAAAATCCCTTGTCTTCCTTTTTGTGGTTCTGTCGTGCTCGTTCTTTAGAAAGTTCAGAACAGATTAGATAAGATAACTTGATTGGTCTCTAGTCCCAACCGCCCCTGCTGCTCAGATCCAATCAGAGTCACTCACAGGCTCCAACTGGATCTGCTCACATTGGTACTGGTATGTTTTCTCAGGTGGGACAAATGGGAGGAGGGCTGCCAACTGGAGCCTGGAGAGGACAGGGTTGGAGGAGGGACTTTTATGAGGTAAAATGCCACAAGCCCATCCTCCAAAGCAGCCCTTTTCTGCATGGGGGTTGACCTCTGTAATCTGGAGACAAGTTGTAATTCCAGAAGATCTCCAGGCCCCTCCTAGGGGACAGGGGTGGAAAAGCACCCTACCCTAGTACTGCTTTCCCAATCAGATTGGTCCCTCACACACACACACACACAAACTGTTGTTCTTTGATCTGCACAGAAAGGACTGGGTGTCCTGGTCACATCACAGATCTTGGCATTAGTCTTGTCTCTAGGGTTGCCACTTGCCAGCCCTGGGTTGGGGAATTCCTGGAGATTTTGAGGATGGAGCCTGAGGAGTGGAGGGGAGGGGAGGGACGTCAGTGGGATCTCCAGCCACCACCTGGAGGTTGGCAACCCTAAGTCTGTCCCTTAACTTCAGCATCAGGTTTTTTCCCTGCCATTTATTTGCCAGGCAATACTATCTTGGGGGAAGAGAAAGTCACCTGACCATGCCGGTATGCACCCAAATATTACTGATATTTTATGGACAATACGTGTGTCCCCTGACAAGAACAATTAACAGTGTACATAAGAACA